TAGGAGCATGAGAAAAGAGAGGGAAAGAAAAGCAAAGGAAAATTATGAAAACAGGGAATAAGAAGAACTAGCAGACTAGCCCACTTTGCAGAAAATATGGTTGTATTGGTGTCCACTGTATGCGGGTAATAGCATTATTAATCCTAACATGCTGTCATTAATAAAAACAAGAAGGATATGAAGTTTCTGTAATTATTTTAGATTGATCTGGGAGAATATTATTTTCCTGGAGCTAGGTAGCATTTTAAAACTGCAAAGGATTAGACAGACACAATCAGTTCAAATATTTGTCCAGCCATTGAAAGGAGAAGCCTCACTTCCGCCTGTGATGAGGCTTTGGAAATCTCCATATCCATCATTGTTCAACAGCTAAGTGAAGATTGCACATTGATTGCCCTTTCACTTGCCTTTAAGCAGCTTATGTGAAATGTTAAATTCAAAGTTGCCTAAAATCCCTACTTTTTAATTTGTTCTCTGACTTGTATGCAGCAAGGCAAATCTTTGTGAGTCTATATGCACACATGCGCACACTCACCCTGATCAGAACCAGGTCCTTCCAAATATGAATTACACTGCACAGATTTTAGAAAGGTACAAGTGGAACAGGAGCAGTCCTTCCCATTAATCTTCACAAGGACATGAAAAGAAAAATAACAGACTCACTGTTGCCTCTAGTCAAATTGTGGCTATGCAGCTTATCACAAAGCATCTGAGTTTCTGTTCCTTTATTTAAAGCTGAAAAGCTTTATTTAAAGCTGCTTCCCTCACATTTTAAGATCCTTAGAAAACTTCGGATAATCACGTATTTCAGAAATATTTTAATTACTCCTCCTTCATTCTTCTAAAATTATTGCCCCTTCTATTTTTCTGAAATCAGCTTCTGAGTGTCTAAAAGAATACAGCGAGCTTTGTGAAATAACTACGAAGAATGGGCATTTTAAAAGAGTTCTTGGATCTGTGTACCAAAACTGTGACTTATTAGCAAATGCCACAAGGCTCTAGGGTCACAGAAGCAGATCCAGACAGTAGTTGTGCTTGACTTCACCACAGTGTCTGTCTTGATGCCAGGCCTTTGCTTATGGGATTTGCTGCAAGCCTGGACTTACATTTAACAATGCACATAGAGATGACAGTGAGTCACAGAAGCTGGAGTGGAACTTCTCCACTGTTTGTGAATAGCAGGACAGCCCAGGGTTTGCTTCTGGGTTCAAATGGGCCCACAGCTTTTGTGATGGTGTTGCTGAGTTCCATCTCTAGACTAGTATTTACAATTGCTTTTCTTCCCCAAATATTACAACGTTAAACATTTGTGCAAATGTTTGGTTTTTTTGGTTTTGGTTGCATGGGGGGAGGGGAGTGAACCATTTTTAGGGCTAACGGGAGGCTTGAGTGCTTAGTTGCCTGTTGTGCCATACCTTCACCTGACATTTTTGACTAATAAATTTTAATGCCTCTGTAGTTTTCCTTTGGCCTGTATTTTCCATTTCTGCATGTATCCCATTTGTGCTGGGCACATCAGTTGGTATTTGTAGCAGATCAGCAGCTTGTATGATCAAAGTATCATTTAACAATATGGACTTATTGCATTAAGAGAAATCCTTTAGGATTTTATTGCTAATGCACTGAAAGCCCATCAGACCTCCTAGTCTGAAATGACCAGCACATTGTCAGAACACTGATCATCAGGGCATTTTACATTCAATCCCCCATAGAGAAATACAGTTCTTTATATACTTTTGCATTCCTGGGGATACAGGGGAGCAGAGCACTGTGGAAAGTTAGAGCCATTCTTCTGCAACCTGCCTCATCCATTGAAAAGGAGCCACTTGAGAACTACGTTTGAAGAGAGCAGGTTTATGACCCCTCTACAGACAGTCCCAAGAATAGTATGGGGATATTTGACTAAGTAATTTCAAAGCT